TTTTTCATACAGAGTTACTGTGATTCCATATCTAAATGTGTGAGAGTAAGAAACAACTTTATATATTCCCTCATGTCACTCACTCTGGCCTCCACTGAAGATATTTCTTATAAGTGTGAACTGGCTTATTTATTAAAATGATTCCTTAGCCTCCAGATAGGTTCTACTGAAACTTGAACCTCCCATAAGGTGGATACAAAAAGCTTGTCTTACATTATGGCCATCTCCTATGCAACTTATCGGAAAATTATCCCAGACACTCTCTCATCTTCACATAAACAACTCACATGCATGGTTGTACTTTAATACACAGTCATTCTCAGTCACTCATTCATTGAAGAATGCACACTCAACTAAAATGCAAATGCACCATCCCTCAACCTTGTTTCTCATAAGATATTTCTCTTTCTTTTATATTCATACTCATATTCTCACTGGTTCAGAAACAGTCAAATGCCCATTGGTGACTAAGTTGAAAGGGTATCTCTACTGGCTGACAAAAGTGGGTGTTAAGTGGATGAGTAGACAAATGACTAGGAGAAGGGAGTGACTGAGTGACAATTGGGTGGGTGGATGACAGAGTGACTGCTTAGGAAGAAAGACAAGTAATCAACTGTGATAACATTCTAGAATATCATATTTTCCAACCTTTTAACTCTCTTTGTGGCTTTCCTTTGAACATTCTCCAAGTCTTATATCTCCCTTCATTTGTCGGGCAACCTTCAGCTTTCTCCTTCTCACTCTATTTTACAGTGTGTCTGTGTGTCTGTATGTGTTACTGTCCCATGACAAAAAATGTACCCCAGCGCCAGATAATATTTTAAAGTAACAACACTCTTTATATGTAAATTTAACTATATTTAAGAACTATTTGTAATAATGAATTTGTGGAAAGGTGTTTGTCTACACCTTTCAGGAAATGACTCCTATTTCAATTGGGTTTTCACCGCTATACTTTCGGCATCTGTGGGTATAAATGTGAAGATATCACTTTCACAGGGAATTATAATAAGCACATCTGATTTATATATATCTCACCATCGAGTTAGAGAGTTGGAGAATTCAGCAATCAAATGAATAGGCACTTAAAATTAAGGACATGTTATTCTTTGGTTTTGAAGATTGTTAGTAGTTCACAGATTTTTTTCAGACAAGATGGGCTTACATGGCTTAATTCAGGAACCAAAGAAATGTTTAGGCAGTGGTATATATCCTGAAAATCCATTGTGAAGACAACAGATATTTCTTGAGCATATACTATGTGTGCTGGAAACTAAGGCAGACAGTGTTTGGCCACAAGCAAGCCAAGAATTATTTGATGAGTTGTAGTGTTCTTATTGGTATCAACTGAACACTAAAGAATAGGTAGGATTCCTAAGTAGGCCAAGTGAAGGGCACCAGTGAAAGAGTATGAAACAAGAATGGCATATTTAGAAGACAGAAGGCTCACCTGGCTATATGAAGGTAGCATCTTTGAGAATAGTAGGGGAAAAAGATAAGTGGGCAGCATGAAAATCAAATTGTATAGGACTTACAATATTAAGCTGAGGTCTGTGAACAACAGACAGCTACCAAAATTTGATCTCTTTTCACAAATCCAACGTTTATTAATACAGTGGCATGAGTTTTTATGAGAGGAACATAAAATATAATTTACAAATACATATATTATCCTCAGTGGAGGCCAGAATGAGTGACATGAGGAAATATAAAAAGTTGTTTCTTATTCTCACACATTTAGATAATATAAATTACAAAATAGGGAAAGTTTTCTAGAAATGCAGCATGTATCATGAGTTAAGATATGTTGGGACTAGTAAGTAAGAAGAGGAATGGTGGAGAAAATGATAGCTCTGTTAGGCCTTACACTTATGAAAATGGTTAAGCACACAAATACTCTTTAAAACTAGTAGTCTTCTGAAGGAAATGTGCCTTGCATCTCACCAATATGGGTAGTTCAGATAACTGAACAAGATCATGAAACTATACTTAGTATTCACTCCAATCCCTCTAATCCATTTTGAAAACAACTTGAGAAGACAAATTAGCTAACTAGGTTACTCTAGCCTATATCATAATTTAATTTTTCTTTGTTGAACAAATAAATATTAGAGGTCAATGGCCTTAATCAGCAAGTCAGTTTACAAAAGGTAGTTACAAATACCAACAATGAAGCTCAGAGCCAAAAAGTGAAAACAAATACTGTGCCGATTATTGACCAATAAGTCAATCCCTTATACATCATTTCCCTCTTTTCCTATAGGATTCCCCTGATCCTCTCACAGCCAGAGGAGTATGATCAGACAGCTCCCCCATCACTTCTGCCAGCCAGATTTCTCCTTTGTGCTTTGGAGAATAATCAAGCAGATTAAGAGGATAATCCTAAATGAATTTCTCATTTAAAATTAACCCAAAGAAGTGAACATATAGCGCACTAAAAGTCAGACTTCCTCTTGGCTTAATGTGGAGAACTAACATCCTTTTACACTTGGCTCCAAACCAAAATGACTACACACACACACACACACACACACACACACACACACTAGCAGCAGCTCCGTCTCTCTCCCCAAAGTCCAAGATGTTCCAGACATCATAATAAACCACACAGTCGAGAATGATTCATATGTTTCTACTCTCTGTCCAAAAAGGAACAAAAATAGTTTCCATTTAACTTACAATCAGAATTCTCTGCTCATTTCCTAAAAATATTAAAAGGGTACTATTAAGATGGCCCTTCTTTCTCTGAAAATTACTGATTCATCATAGGCTGAAGTACCTTTTGGCAAAATATATTTGTTTTCCTGAATCTCTGGAGACAAGAGTTATAGATACATGATGCCAAGTACCTAATCAATCATCCAATGTTTTCATGTTTTCAAATAGCTAGTGTTCTGAAGATGCAGGTTGACTCTATCTAGTCTTTTTGTTATCTCAACAGTACATATGGCTACAGATTTTTTTGTTTGGAGTATTTTTCAAGGCCAATGCCTTATTATAGTTTAAACACCTGCACATATTTGGCAGTTTCTTCCATCCTCTTCATGTTCCCTATTCTTCCTAAAACCCTGCCCCCATCATTTGCTATTATGAAGCTGTATATTTATACAACATGTCCTTTTCCTTTATGTGGTCAACCATTTATCTATGACCCATGAAATGTGAAGTTGTTGGAGCATAAATATATGTTTTGAATGACATTTTGTGGGGGAAAACTTAGGTCCAAAATAAAGTAGCAGACACTACAGCAGAAAGGACAGTTAATCTTGAGATTGAGTTCCAATGCTAGCTCTGCTATAGTTAACTATTTCTGAGACTAACTAAATCACTTAACCTACAAGGCATAGGGCTGGGGTGAACATTTTGCCTAGTGGGTAAAACATCAGTTGGGAAACCCATAATCCAGATCAGAGTATGTGGGTTCTAATGCTAGCTCTGCTGCCAATTCCAGCTTTCTGCTAATGCAGACTGGGAGGCAACAGCTGATGGCTCAAATAATGGGGTTCCTGAAACCAGCAAGGGAGAACCAGTTCCTAGATTCTGGGTGGGTATTTGAGGAGCGAAGGACCAAATGAGAACGTTCTTACTCTCCCTCCCTCCCTTTAAGATAAACAAAATAATGCATGAAGAAAAACTGAGAGCTTCAACTAAATTAAATCCAAGACCTAAAATTTTATGATTCTATTAATTGAAATTAATGAGATTATTCTCCTCTGTAGCCTTGATGTTGATACACTGCAATCAAGATATTTATTTTTAACAAATTTATAAACAAGAAATAATACATACCTACAAAGAAGTACCAATTGTTATCAGCATAACTATTCTCAATATTATTTTGCAATAAATTACAATAGAAATGAATCCCACTCCAAGTACTAGTACTATTACTCTCACCAACATCATAATTTTGTTACAAATAAGCTGCAAAGAATTTTCTAGAGGGAAATCCACATTACCTTCTTCCTTCCATTCTATTTGGGTCATTCTACTAGCTTGGCATCACTACTTTGGCCCTATTTTGGAGTGGTAATATTTTTCATTTTTCTGGAATCTCTGTTAAATACCTTCTTTCTTGTAGGAAATTATACCACATAGCTGGCAGGCTATGCAAATAAAACAATTTGCTTGATTTGATATTTGATAGCATTAATGTGAAGTAGGAGAACATTAAATAACTGGCACTTAGACTTGCACATAAATATCATAGGGTACAACTTCAGAAAATCCTGCCTACTGAACACAAATGAAAGAGCAGGGATTTCCAAGATAGTGACAAGAGGTTCAATTGTAGCCCACAACAATGAACACTGACATAAAATGTGATAAAAGCTGCAATCTGTGTCTCAGCTAAATTTTGGTTCAGAGAATTGACAGTCATAACTGATTTCACAGCATACTGGTTTCTTTCTTCATTTTTTGTTTTGTTTTTAAAGCCAGACTTTGGAATTAGTCTGTGTTAAATGCTTACAGACAGTAGATAGTAGCCAATGTCAACCTTTTGCTTCTTCATTATACTGAGTATGCAAACACAAACATTTACTACTGTCCTTCAGAAAATCTCTCACCTACATAGATACACTCAGACATCTTCACTCACACCTCCACAGACACACATCTGAAACATGAAAATCAGCACATATGCTAATTGTAGTATACTTACACATGTACTCACATACTTAAAAGAGGAGGTGGAAAGATCACAGAAAGATATGTAATGTGCAATTTGTCACTGACAGAAGACAGGATGCTGCTTTCCTGGACTAACAACTGGTGGAGCCAGCAGTCAGCTAAATCCCCACCCCAAGAACCGGACAGAAGTAAATGAATACAAGCAGATTTATCTAGCAGATGAGTAAGTTATTTCTCATGAGAATAATTATAAGTTAAATCACTTGTCACAAAGAAAAAAATGACCCATTTCATTAGGAAGCTTGCTAACTGTATAAATGTGAATTAGGAGTCAAAGTTATATAAGGGTCATTGCCCAGATCACTTACCTTGAGTTTCTCAAACCGATCATTCAAGGATGCAACCTGATGGTCTCGGTGACGACCCACCAGTTTGCATAAGGCACAGATCAACTGGTCATCAGTTACACAGTACATATTCACTTTCTCATTCTCGTGGTCCAGGCAGGTGATTCCTCGAAGATGTGTGTCTGGCACTGGTTCTACCAGGCGGTGGCTGGTGAAAGGTTTCTTGTTAGGGTGTGTGGCCCGCAGACAACGGTCACAGTAGGAGACCTCACAGGTGATGCATGTTTTCACTGCATCCCTTGGTGGGTCCTGCTCACAGAATTGGCAAGCAATTCTTTCACTAGACATGGTGGTGCTGGGCCTGTAAGTCCTCTCCCGGCGGTTCTCACTTGGTGAATTGGGCCCACTGACAGAAGCCTTCTGGAAGCGATCAATAATGTTCTGGAGTGTCACATTCCTCTTGAGGCCATCTAGGCCCCGGTGGTTCAGTGAGATAACATACCTGCAGGTGGGACACTGGAAAGCTGTAATGGGTTCAATGGATTCACCAGAACTGCAGCTTGAGACCAAGATGCGATGGGCACAGCTGAAGCAGAGGCTATGAGCACAAGGGAGAAGAAGGGGGTCTTCAAACAACTCTAGACAGATTGGACAGGTCAATTCAGACTCCAGTGTTTCCATCTTTAGTGAAAATAATCCTGTTGAGGCATTAAGAACCACAGAGGCTGGGCTTTCACCTGCAAGGAATTACAAAGCAAGAGTCATTAAGCTTTTCCAAAGGAAAAGGGGGCTAGAGTACAACTGCACACTAACTAATGGAAGTTTTGCACACTGGACTCCCCGGGGATGCTTGAGCAATAGGAAAGCAATCTAGAAATTATTCAGAAAACCTTTCTGCCCGTCACCCACTCAAACCTTGCTTTTGAAAATGCCTGTGTTTCTTTTCCAGCACTGATGAACAGAACTGAGTGACATCCTCTGAATCATGGTTTACTGATTAACATTATCATTTCAGCTCACGACACTGGTGTGGATCATTCCTTCACATATTCTCCACTGGCATCCCTTGTCCTACACTATGATGAGCCAGAGGTCCTGCAAAATTCTCAGTCTCTAATCTTTGATATCATTCTCTATTTTCACTTCAAGGTAAAATATAGGGGCTGATCCTATTTCACATCCAGTAGAAGCAAAACAATGCCATATTTCAAACTCTCTACTTCCTGAAATGAAGCCAGCCAGCAGGCCTGTATAAAAAAGAGGGGGCTTTAGAAAAATCTAGTTGGGGCAAGATAATATGTTCTTTTTTGAGCATACAGTTTAATTACTTCCTATTACCTCACATGGCAATTTGTTCTACTTCATTTGTAGTATACTGAGTTACTAGAGATGATAGTTACAAAAGATAATAGTTTTCATTTTCACTTGCTGCTCTCAACTTCAGAAAACCCATCACCCCACCAAGCTGCATTAGAAATTATTTCAATTTGTTTAGTTAGTAATAGGTAATGATCAATGATGAAGTCATACTACCTTGTGGCTTCTGTTTGGTTTTATTATTATACAACTAGTACAAGTCTGTTATGAAATTCATGTGCCTTTTTACATCTCCTAAAAGCTAACATGGTACAAATCAACATCTAGATCGAAGTTGGCAAGAGGAGCAGCCAGAAATTTTCAGACCTCGTAACCCTGATCTTTGAATGTATTATAGAGTAAAATAAGTCACCCAACTCACAAGAAACTATCCTATTGGTTTTTGCATAGGTATTTCTGAGGTGAACATAAAGATTCTTACTGCCACGGCTCTTCCATTAATGACAATCACAAAACATAAATATTCCAAGTTAGTCACAACTAAGGAAAAACATAAAATATCTTATGTTACTCTTATTATGGAAAAGAAAAATATATCTTTTTCTTTGAAGTAGATCTGTTTACCATTTCTCCATCATTGGATATACTCATCAGGGCTTGATGAGCTGATTCTACAATTGATATTTGCTCAGATACTGTCACTTCCCAGTGATATATGCACAGCCCTCTCACAGAATGCATTGAGTGCAATCAGACTCTATGCATAAGTACAATAGATACACACATAAAAGCTATTGCTAAATCAAACTTTTTAAGTACAATGAACTAACTTACTTCTTTAATGGGAACCTATAGCAAACTGAGCCATAAAATTGACGAATTTGAAAAAAAAAAACTGAAGAATTTGACACTAATGCAGTCAGTCTCAGTTAGTTTAGTAGTTTCAAGTGCTTGTACAGACACTTTTCAAAAAATAACATGTGTGCTATTTTCATTTTACAGTTTACAAGTGTTGGAATTTTTTTGACCAGTAAGTCATACTTTATAACATCTATCAGCATTTATCTACAGATGAAAAAGTAAAAGAAACAAAATGTAAATATATCTTAGTATATTACAATTGGAAAAGACTTTAGAAATGAAGGATTTCCATTTAAGGTATGAATTACTGCTTTGGACTGTGCCACCTAATATCCCTCAAACAGTTGAATTCAGTGTGGCAACAAAGGAACTTGTTATGCTCCCTACTCACACACACACACACACACACACACACACACACACACAGCCTATTGCTCTGATTTCCTGTTCTTTTACAGGTATCATCATACAAGTGTAAAAACTTACATGTTTGTAATTGTAATCACTGATGACTTCCAGAAAATTCCATCTTAGTTTATTTATACGTCTCTATCTCTAGTTAACACTGCCTATCCCTTAAGAACAGAAACGATTTCATATTTTTGTTCACTACACAGTACTTTCCATGGTATTCAACCATTGCTAATGAAGTTTTCTTTAAAGTAAAAGTAACAAAGTGGGCTTTGGTATTTACTGAGTACCTGCTTTATATCAAGTACTATGTTAAGCACTTAACATACAGTATTTCATTAAAGTCTTTCAAGAAGCCAGTGAGAAAAATACCATTATTACAGCCATGAGCAGAGGCCAAGCTAATGCCAACGCCTGTTCTCTTTCTCCTACACTTTCATTTCAAACATCTAACCACCTTCACTGAAGTTTATCTTGACCGTTTACAAGAAGTTTCCTGAACAGCATGCTTCCACTTCTATTTTTGTCCCTCTTTGCATCTGAATTCCTCAAATCAGTCTACCTCATTCCAACTCCTTTCCAGAATCATATCTGTTTCCTCCAGGCCCATCTCCACCTCACACTGTACTTCTCTCACTATCTCTTCTAGAACCACATGTCTGCATTCTTCAATGTCTGTGTTGGAAGCTGCCTGAGTTGGTGGAGAGCATTGCTGAAAGGTATGCGTACATGTTAAAACCTATATAAAAACTATTAGAGGAGCACAGCTCTTGAAGTCTTAGGAGGGTGCTATATAAATTCTTTTCTGCAAAGGAAAAGCTTCATTTGTTCCCAAGTCAATACAGCACTTGAACTTTATTTACTATGAGATAAGCTGGGGGAAAGCAAGCTATAGGTCAAGATTGCCTTCCATGAGGTCAAAGTAGGATTTTAAACCAGGGATTTCTGAACATTCTATAACTGCTTTGAGAATGTTGGATGTGTGTCATATATGCATTTTTATGGGGAAAGAGGAGAATGTCCCATGGCTTTAAAAAGATTCTCAAGAGGAATCTTGACAAAACAGTCAAGTATCAGTGCTCTAAAATACTCTATCTTAACTGACTTCAGCTCTACAGAGAATATTATGAGTGTTGTTGTCTTTTGTTGACTATCATAAGTACCTTTTCTGTACTGCTTCTATGTTTTTCTATCTTATTACCATACAGTAATATATGTAATATATGTATAGTATAGGGAGTATACTGTATATATATATATATATATATATATATACATATATTACATATGTATATATGTGTACATGTATGAATATATTTCTTCAAATACCTTAAAAACAACTTCATTATCTCTTAATTATTGAGACCTCTTTGTTCTGGTTACTCCCAATGATTTGTCATTCTTTCAACTACACTTCAATTTCTCTTTCAATGTATTATCTCATTTAATTTTCTCAACTCTCTAAAACACAGGTATTAGCACTACAAAAAATGTAATGCCCAAAGTGTGCAACTAGTAAAGCTACTTAGAATAAAACTCCCCAAATAAACCTATATACTTATGCCTGACTAATTTTCAGCAAAGATCGACATTGTTCAATGTAAAAACATATATATTTTCAACAAATAATGGATATACACATGCAAAAAAAATAAAGATGAAGCCTTACTTTATACCACATGTAACATTTAACCAAAACAAATAGATAACAAAATTTAAGGGCTGAAACTATAAAGTTCTTGGAAGAACAGATGTATGTAAATCTCTGTGGACTCAGACTAGAGAGCAGTTTCTTATACGATTTCAAATACACAAAGAAAATATAAATAATACTTTATGGGCTGAAACAGTGGCATAGGAGGCTAATCCTCAACCTGCAGCACTGGTATCACATATGGATGCCAGTTCATGTCCTGGCTGCTCCATTTCCAATCCATCTACCTGCTAATGGATTATACCCCAAGTCCTTGGGCACCTGAACCCATGTGGGAGATCTCGAAAAAGCTTCTTTGGAAGCAGCTCCTGGCTCCCAGCTTTCAGATAGCCCAGCTCTGGCTGTAGCAGATATTTGAGGAGTGAGCCAGCATACTGAAGATCTCTCTGTGTGTAATTATGACTTTCAAGTGAAATAAATAAATCTTTAAAAAATAAATAAGTAGTACAGGGCCCGGCGGCGTGGCTTAGCAGCTAAAGTCCTCACCTTGAATGCCCCGGGATCCCATATGGGCGCCAGTTCTAGTCCCGGCAGCTCCACTTCCCATCCAGCTCCCTGCTTGTGACCTGAGAAAACAATCGAGGATGGCCCAAAGCTTTGGGACCATGTACCCATGTGGGATACCTGGAAGAAGTTCCTGGACCCTGGCTTTGGATCGGCATAGCATTGGTCATTGCGCTCACTTGGGGAGTGAATCATCGGACAGAAGATCTTCCTCTCTGTCTCTCCTCTTCTGTGTATATCTGGCTTTCCAATAAATAAATAAATCTTTAAAAAAAAAATAGTACAGGCCTGGCACAGTAGCCTAGTGGCTGAAGTTCTTGCCTTGCATGAATCAGGATCCCATATGGGTACCGGTTCATGTCTCGATTGCTCCACTTTCCTTCCAGCTCCCTGCTTGTGGCCTTGGCGGGCAGTGGAGGATGGCTCAAAGCCTTGGGGCCCTGCACCCATGTGGGAGATGCAGAGGAGACTCTGGATCCTGGCTTTAGATTGGATCAGTTCTGGCTGTTGCGACCAGTTGGGTAGTGAATAGTATTTCATAAAAATTTAAATCTTTAGTGCTCTAAACAGCATCAACAAAGTGAGAGGACAACCCACAAAAGAAGAGCAATTAATTGCAAACCATACATCTAGAAATGCCTAGAAATGCAAATATATAAATGGATAGAAATATATAGAACTGTTACAAGTTGATAGTAAAAATATAGCCCATTTTAAAATGGACACAGAGGAGCTGATGTTGTAGAACAGCAGGTAAAGCCTGTAATACTGACATCCCATAAAGCACTAGTTTGTGTCCTGGTTGCTCTACTTCCGACACAAATTCCTATTAACGATTTGAAAAAAAGCGGCAAAAGATGGCCCTAGTGTTTGGGCCTTTGCCACCCATATGGGAGACCCAGGTGGAACTCCTGGCTTTGACTTGGCCCA